TACTTATACAGAATTTTACTACCGTATATTATCTGTCTCTTATACACATCTAGATGTGTATAAGAGACAGGGTTAGCAAAAAGGTATGTTTTGTACTCTCGTGAAAATGATGAAAATAATACCTAAGTTAAATGATTTAAAGTTTTCTTTTTATTTTCAATGAAAAATAAATGCGATCGTTAATATCGATCTTGGTACAATGTAAACCTGTAATCATATGACTACTTATACAGAATTTTTACTATATTATAGGTCTAGACTAGGACCAGGCCTCCTACTATAGTATAGAGGCCTAGTCCAAGACCTTGTTGCAAATCCCAGCCCACATAAGCCTAACCTATAATGCCAAGCATAGGGCTCGTGATCGCGGTACCCTGACGTATTAAAAATTAGCAGACGCACTGGGAAGCGTTGTTCACGGCATTGGACTGCAGCGAAAAATGATTCCCCCATCATTAATGGAACAGGCCCACGTCATGCTTGGCTGATTAGTTTTGATTTACATTTCGCAAGTCTAGTGCCATACGCAGCAAAAGTCTGTTTCTAGTGTTGTTGTCAATGCATTTCATAACCAGGCTGGTTTTTTGATTTACGTTTTGGAATAGAATTTGGAGAGGGCGTTTGATCAAGTCAGACCTACGTTTTGAATTTGAATTACATTTTAAAGAAATTAGAACTACATTTTGAAAAATTTGAACTACGTTTTGAAAAATTAGAACTTCATTTCGGGAAACTAGATCTACATTTTGAGAAATTTACGTCTACGTTTTGATAAATTATACATTGAATTTTGCAATTACATTTTGATTTTAACATGGACTTTTGCTGCGTATGGCACCCCATACTACACTATATTCCCAACTTATACCTTGCTCATGGATGTCACTAAGCCTATTCCTAAATTAAAACATATTTGGTTACGGTACCGTTGCTTACAAATGTGGGGGCAGTGGTGGATTTAGGATTATGTGAGTGAGGGAGCTGTCGTAGTTTAGTTAAAAATGATATTGCGTGTTAAGATTGACTTACCATACAGCGTATCCTTGTTTGATCCCAAAAAATTGGCGTGGCTTGTTGGTCTGTTAAAGTATTCTTCACGATTAAAAGCTAGTACAAGTTTGTAGCCGCTAATTTCTGGATCTTCATTGACCATAAACCAGGTAACACACATTATTCAGTTTAGAAACGTTGTTTTTTTTGTTTTTTTTTTAAATCTTGCCTGTAACTTCTGGGCCGGTAACTCCTCCGGATGACGTACTAAATTTATTATATATTATTATCGTTATGACGAGACTTAAAAGTGTTGAATGAGTCCGATTTAATAACTGATCCGTTCAACTACCACGCCAGCTTTAAAAAGCTGTTATCTGTACCTGTGGGTATGCTGTCCAAATTTCCAAGTGGAACTAATCGAGAGGGCGTGCTCATGTAGTTCTTATTGAAACTGCTTTAAATGTTTTGTTGCTTGACCTTTAATTGTTAATTGGTCAATATTCTTATTGTATAGGCCCACTAATGATGAATAGAAGGTACTATTTTGCAAAAAAATCGATACACGACATATATTAAATATTAAGAACGACTTCAGAAGTCAATAATTAAGACATTGTGAACATTAAGTCGGATAAATTAGAAAATGACATTCATGAAAAAATGACTATAACGCTTTAATATCGTTACTAAATGCAAGTAAAACAAGTTTTTTCGTCAATTTTCGTCACATAATGTCTACTGATTTGTAATTGACAACAAACTTAATCATCACTTGGCAACAAACTTAATCATCACAAGTGTTTTTATTTCTGCATTTCAATACCAACGGCTATTAAAACAGCAAAACTAATTCCTCCATGATCTTAATGAATATGAACAATGAAAAAAAAAGTTATTGTGATGAAATAAATACTGTAATACATGATAAAACATTTCTAGATTTTCTGGCTATAATATTTTTCATGTTTTATTATCTTGAAAAATACCATAAAACATTAACAGTGTCTTTAGTCTTATATTATAATTTCCGTCCTAAATTCACATGAATTAAAGAAACATACTGTAATTTTCAAATTTTCAAGAATGGTTATCATTCTCCACCCTCATAAAGTATATACGTGCTTGAAATACCCTTGAAATGGTCTCATATTTGATCTGAGATTGATCTGAAATGATCTGAGACCATTTCGGTCCCAGATCATTTCGGCCGCCGCTCATTTCGGCCGCCAGATTTTTAACAATAGAAAGTATGGCGCGCCAATAGAGTTCCATTGGTAGTGTGGTTGTTGCAGGATGCGGAAGCGTAGGCAAATAATAATCTGGCCGTTTTTTATTTAACTTAGGCATAGGCCTACATATCTGTATGTAATGCATGCTTATGCCCACGTGTTTTTCATTAGGTATATATTAATTTTTGTGTTAATAAAATATAATAACGCCTAATGATACCGTAATTATTCACATTTTATACTAGGCCTACTGTATTTTTCTGTAGAAAAAAGGCCTAGTTGTAGTTAATTTTAACTGATGATAGTCGTACACTAATGAGTTATGATAGTCGTACAGTAATGAGTTGTGTGTCACTATAATGTAATTTTGTACTTTTTATCTTTGGAATGTTATAAACGGATGTTCGTTGTTATGAATTATTGTAACAATTATATGAGTGCAGAAACTGATTTACCATAATGATTTTAATTTGTTCTTTACAGGTAGATGATGAGGGAAAATATATTCTGCCTAAAACTAGTTTGATTGATGGCTAATTATATGTTTTGTATTGTTTTATATATATATA